GCTGAATGATATTGCACATTAGAGCAAGTCAGATTTATTTTATTATTCCTACATTGCTCTCATTTAATTACATCCCTAACAGAAATGTGTTTATTTTTGTTCCCAAATGAATCGCTTTACATCTATTTAGATTTAGTCTCATCTGTCTCATGTCCGTTCTGTTCCCAAATTTATAAATCATCTCACATAACATATCTACACTGATCAGCCATAACATTAAAACCACTGACAGGTGAAATTAATTACATCATGGCTAGATGATTGGGTCAGAGCATCTCCAAAACAGCCTGTGTTGTGTTCCCAGTATGCAGTGGTTAGTATCTACCGAAAGTGCTTCATGGAAGGACAACCTGTGAACTTGTGTGAGGATCATGGGTGACCAAGGCTCATTGGTGCATGCAGTGGTGGATCCAAGGGGGGAACAATGAGGCAATTGCACCCCCTCCGATAAAATAGTAAAGAGCCAAGGTTCTGCCGTCCCATTCAGGACCAGCGCTATCCAAGCACCGGCCCTGCTGTGTACCTTCACGGACCGGATGGGAGATCAGACATCTCCCTCACCGGTCCGCCTACACTGAAATGTAGCAGCTGGAAAGGGGAGAGAGAGATGACCCAGGAGCTTAGCCTGCAGCAACGCTTTGGATCTCGCAAGAGTGAACTCTAGCCCAGGAGCTGCAGTCTAGCGTTCTAAATCAGATTTCATTAAGTTTCTATTTCAGACTGATACGTGACATATGCCAAGGAAGTCTGAAATAGAATCTTAATGCTATTTTTTTTTAAAGAATGACACATTTTGAAAAAAATAATGTTTGTTAGACTGACTTGTTGTAGGCCTCATGGGATCCTGCACCACCAACCTATTATGTTTATGTATCAAGGAACTACTAGAGGCACTAAAGAACAACTACAACTGTGCTCAAGGGTATCCACAAAGGGATGATAGGAAATCTTCTTTAACTTAAAATTGACAAACCACAGAACCATTTTTCAATATCATGATCATTTAGACAAGCTTTTTTAAGTAACAAAATTAAAAATCTCATCTCTACCTTAAGTATACATCAGGATCATTCAACCATATAGATGCAGCTTCGGTCAGACGATGTTTGAAAACCGATAGTTGGTCTCTATGGTCTTCCCTGCTTCACTACCCGGAACAGATACATAGAAGACCATAGACACTAACTGTTGGTTTCCAAACACTGTCTGACCCAAGTTGCATGTATATAGTTGAAGTATTCTGTTATATCCATTGGAAGGGATGTGTTTTCCTAATTTTTTTACATATACGTTACATATACATTCAAAAAAATCTATTTCCTTTCAAAACTTGACAAAAGGATTGTTATATTAGAATATAGTTTTGAGGTAACAGTAACAATAAGGATATGGAATTCTCTGCCTGAAGAGGTGGTTTTATCAGAGTCCTTCCAGATGTTTAAACTGCAATTGGATAAATACTTGCAAAAACATAACATACAGGGATATAATTTCTAATTAGTGGGGTAATAGCTGCTTGATCCAAGGAGACATCTGACTGCTATTTTGGGGTCAAGAAGGATTTTTTTCCTAGTTTGTTGCAAAATTGGAAGCGCTTCAGACTGGGTTTTTTGCCATCTTTTGGATAAACAGCAAAAACATACGTGAGGGAGGCTGAACTTGATGGATGCAAGTCTCTTTTCAGCTATGTAACTATGTAACTATGTAATTATGTAACAGTTGTCCTTTAAGTGTGAAGTTTGACAGTTAACACTCTAAAACACCTCTAGAAGCAAGAATAGAATGAACACTGGAGACTGTGGAAGATGTGAAATATAGTGCATATGTTAGACATGAGGATCTCAAAAAGTCCAATGACATACTGTTTCAAAAAAAAAGTGAGCAGTTCAAGAAGGCATGAAAGGTCAATGTCCATGGTGCAGGATGCTTGAGTGGTCTGTTGACAGACATCAAAATACTGAGAACCTTTCAACGTTCTGTAAGAACCTGAAGACAAGGCATTTGAAGAGACCTTCCCTGTTGGTACTGATGCATTCAAGTTTTTTTCCTTCTTGTCTTATTTCTCTCCTGCTGTTTGTCTGTATTTTCCTTTTTCTTGTGTGTTCCTAGACACAGAACAATGGCTTGCTCTGTTTATATTCAAAGCTTATAGATAAATACAAAGGTGGAAGAACATTGTGCGGATTGTGCCCAATAATTCACATCACAGGCTTCGAACAGCAAACCTCCTAGTAGCTGTATTGAACATGTTACAGTAGGTACTCGGCTAACCAGTCAATCATATTGAACCACGACATGCAAGTTACTGTAATGAGAATGCCATCTGACAACGTATTGTAATATTTGACATGCTCCTATAGATTAACTTCCCTTTAATACAGCTGCACGTTCAATTTATATTTTATTTTGTTCTTTAAAAATATCCCTAGATTTCACCTAAACCACAGCGTACACTCAATAAAGAATTCTAATTCATAAGCACACATTACTGCTGTCTATCTCCGACTGCAGGTAAAAACCAGGAGCTGTTTGCCTTGTTAAAACAGGCTTCTTTTATTTTAATTTAAATGTTAATGTACTTCTATAGTCTATTGGCCCTTTAGTTCCCAAATACATTTTGTATTATAGCAGATGATGAAATTGTATTAAAGCTTCAATAATATATCTCTGTGAACTTCAGAAATCTTGCGGGACAAGCGACGGCCGTAGAAGCAAAAGACAACGGAAATTAAATTTTTTTAAATATCCCCCTTTAAGTACACAACGTCATTATTCCAGAAGCGTACTGTAGCCCTTGCTCACGGAGGCAGCTGGAATGGCAATTTACATGTACAGGGCCGATGATTTTCCAGTATATTTCCTAGGAGGATAAAGTGTGATTATTTTCTAGAGAACAAAATGCAGGAGTGGAATTGGTAAAGCAATTTACTTGGTAAAACCTGGAGGAATTCGCACTCGCTTCCATTGCCCGGTGTTGTTATGTTACGCATTTTCTTGCATTGTGATGTGTTCATTTCAACCGCTGCATATTGAACTTACAAAAAAAAAAAGCCAGCTCACAATATTCCACTTGGAGAAAATGAAACACATTTCTGTTGGTTTCTGGGTAGGAGTAGAAGTCATATTTTGTGTGCAGCCATATTTTGAGAGGCATATAATGTTTATCTTAATTTGTAGTGTAACATGAGGATAACTCTGAGTTAGAATGAAACTTTCTTATAGGACAGCATGTAAAAAGTACTTACCAAGGAGTTGCTGGGGGAGCTGGCAGGGACTGAAGCCCCGAGTGGGGGCCTGAAAATTATTGGGTCTAATTTGATCTCATTTTTTTGTAAGCCCTAGTTATACTGAAAGATAAATAGCCCCTCCAATTATATAATTTGTAACAGTGTCCACTTTAAGGTACCTTATTAGAAGCTATGCTATGTATATACACAAACTGGGACACAGTATACACAATGACAAACAAATACTCACAGTATATACATACTGACACATTCACAGTATGCACACTCTGCTATACATAAGCCAAGGCGAAGTATATACACTCTACTAAGCAGGCACACACTCAGACACAGTACAGACACATTGCTATAAACGCACTCATTCAGATAGTATACACACAATGACGCTAAACTACACACATTATACAAAAACCAGGTTGCGCTGAATACTGTAGGTATTAAGTCCAATTCTTTGGAAGATCCTGGCTTGGATTCGGCCAGGTTTCAGTTGGTGATAAGTATATGTAATAAAACAGAAAATAACCAGTAATAGTGCAGATAGCCAGATACTTAGTGTAGGATACACAACATTGATATGTGGGATCACACTCACATTTGCTAGAGCTATAGACCAGCTCTGAGTAAAACAGCGTATAGTGGTATAATCCCCACTGATGGATATGTAGTTCCTTAGAGGTAAGTCTCACAGCATCCAGAAGAATATGAAATGGTAAAACATAAAAAGTAAACAATAGTGCTTACTGTGTGAAACCAAAAACAGGTAAAAATATAAATGGTAATTTACACACATTTAGTAGAGCAGTAACACCACTCAAGAGATAGCACTTAGGTGGTATGATCCCCACCAAGGATATAATGTTGAGTAGATTTTCCTGTGGCAAGTCTTTGCTAGGGATTGGGTGTAGAATGGTGTAGATACTTCAGGAGTTTTTAAATGTGCCAGGAACAATATAAAACAATAAAAGTAATAAAAAGCATAAAAAGTATAATAAATGGTCTTGCACTATAAAATAGCCAAATAAACGTTAATGCTTAAAAACAATATTAAAACACACACACACACACACACAACACGTTTCGCCAAACAAGTGTACTTGATTTTGTATTTCTTATTTAAATGGGAGATTATCTACAGTAAGTGCAGTTCCAGTCACCCATATATCATTTTATTATCGCATAACAGAGAATTAAGATTAGTTGCTAGCTGCTCTTCATTAACACTGTTATACTCCCAGATTATGACAAGGTCTGCTCGTGGTTTAAATTATTCAAGAACATTTCATGCAAATTGCCCGCGGGAATCACATAGTTATCCTGGACCCTGCTTCTTATCTAATAGGATTGGATGATTGTCACAACAAAAACAAAATGTGACTCCTCTATTTTATTTAATCATGTAACAAAGTGAATAAAATAAATGTTATGTACAACATAAATAGTATTTATGTATACTGATGCTGATTAAATCCAAATTAATCAACACAAGCACTTTAAAACAGGTATAGTATGCATTTATTAAATATTCTCTTACAATCACAGAGCAGACAAAAAAAAAAACAGCCAGAAATTCAAAATTAGCAAGGGAAAATAAAATGTTACATAATAAAACCAATATTTGTGTTAATAGAGTTGCAAGCAAGCAGTGAAATAGAAACATAGGGTGTGACAGCAGATAAGAACAATACGGCCCATCTAGTCTGCCCAATTTTCTAAATACTTTCATTAGTCCCTGGCCTTATCTTAAGTCTAGGCATAGGTGTGCGCAGCACAAACACACACGCTGCGTATATATATATATATATATATATATATATACATACATACATACAAACATACACACACATACATATACATAGGCGGCGTGTGTGTTTGTACTTTAGGGCATGTGTTTGTGCTTTATATACATATACATACATACACACTGCTGTGTGTGTGTGAGGGTGGTGTGTGGGCGCTGTGTGTGGGCGCTGTATGTGTGTGTGAGGGTGCTGTGTGCATGTCAGTGCACGGTGTGAGTGTAAGGGTGCTGTGTGTGAGGGTGGTGTGTGTGTGAGGGTGCTGTGTGTGAGGGTGCTGTTCGTATGTGTGTAAGGGTGCTGTGTGTGTGAGGGTGCTGTTAGTGTGTGTGTGAGGGTGTGTGTGTGTATGTGTAAGGGTGCTGTGTGTGAGGGTGCTGTGTGTGAGGGTGTTTGTTAGTGTGTGTGTGTAACAGAGGCGTAGCGTGGTGGGGTGCAGGGGGGGCCGGCCGCACCGGGCGCAACATCTGGGGGGCGCGCTCAGGGCCGGCCCCCCCATGCGGCAGCCGCCCGAGCGCTCTGTAGAGAGCCTCAGGTGGCTGCAGCTTTGCCCGGGCGGTGCGTCCATGAGGGCGGACCGCACCGCCCGGGCGCAACCTGAGGAGAGGGGCTGACAGGAGGGAAACGCTCAGCGCTCCCTCCTGTCACTCCCTCTGTAGTAGCGTGGCCGAGCCCTGCAGCATGCTGGTCCGACGGGTACAGGGAGCATCTGTCTCCTGTACCCGGCCAGACTAACAGGAAGTGCACACTCAGTGTGCACTTCCTGTTAGTCCGGCCATGTACAGGAAACAAAAGCAACCTGTACCCGCGGACCATCATGCTGCAGGGCTCGGCCACGCTACAACAAAGGTGGGGGGGAGGAGAAAGAAATTGGGAGGGAAGAGGGGAGAAGAAATGGGGAGGGTGGGAGAAGAACGGGAGGGGAAGGGGGAGAAGAAATGGGAGGGTGGGGAGAAGAAATTGTCAGTGGAAGGGCAAGAAGAAATTGGGATGGGAAGGGGGGGGAGAAGAAATTGGGATGGGAGGGGGGAGAAGAAATTGTCAGGGGAGGGGGTAAAGAAAGAAAATTGGGATGGGAGGGGGGGAGAAGAAATTGGGATGGGAGGGGGGGGAGAAGAAATTGTCAGGAGGGGTAAGAAGAAACTGTGAGGGGACGGGGGGAGAAGAAACTGGGAGGGAGGGGGGGAGAAGAAATATTGAGGGGAGGGAGAAGAAATTGGGAGGAGGGGGGAGAAGAAATTGGTAGGGAGGGGGGAGAAGAAATGGGGGAGGGAGGGGTAGAAGAAAATTGGTAAGGGAGGGGAGAATAAATGGGGAGGGTGGGATAAAAAGAAATTGGTAGGGGAGGGGGGAGAAGAAATGGGGAGGGTGGGAGAAGAAGAAATTGGCAGGGGAGGGGGGAGAAGAAGAAATTGGTAGGGGAGGGGGGAGAAGAAGAAATGGGGAGGGGAGGGGGGGAGAAGAAGAAATTGGTAGGGGAGGGGGAGAAGAAGAAATTGGTAGGGGAGGGGGGAGAAGAAGAAATTGGTGGGGGGGGAGAAGAAATTGACGGGGGGTGAGAGTTACAGGGGAGGAAGGGGCAATGAGAGTGGGAAGGGGGAGGGGAGAAGAGAGTGACAAGGGAGGGAGAGGGGGGAGAAGAGAGTAACAAGGGAGGGGGAAGAGATTGACATCCATCACACACACATGCAATGCACCCCTTGCACACAGAAAAACACACAATGCATTACACACACAGACACACACACACACACAAACAATGTAACCCTTACACACAATGCATCCCTTACACACACAGAAACACACAATGCATTCCTTACATACACTCAATGCACCCCTTACACACACTTAATGCACCCCTTACACACGCACACACTGCATCCTGTACATACACAGAAACACACCTTGCAGCCCTTACACATACAAACACAGATTCACACAATGCATTCCTTACACACATATCAGGACATCCCCTACACACTCCACCCCCTGTGAACAAACTCATTGGTGGAACATGAAGGTGGACCCTGGGACCCAGACCTTGAGCTGTGTAAAGGGCCCCCCAAAAATGGAGCTGCTTCCCGTTCTCCTAGTATATTGATTTTTGTGACCACAGTTACAAACCGCCTCCAGAGAGCCTGTTCTACACCAGACCAGTGGAGCCAGACTGCAGCTAGAGCCCATCATCATCCTCATCTCGTTGTAAGTAGGCAATCTAGTATATTATTTGTGGCACTAATCTCTAATTTACCTCACATTAAAGAAACACTATTCCGTTGCTGAACAATTTGCGCTAATTAAAAGCAGGCGAATTTAAATTAATCTGTATATTATATACAGATTGATATCTTGCACTTCTATTAAAGAATTACAATTAGAGGTACAGGATTGAGGAAGTTGGCTCCATCTAGCCCAGTCTTTGATCACCTCCAGGGTATGGTTCCATTTTGATGTTTAGTTTTTGTTCTTGATATTTTTTGTCGTTTACGATGGTTGTGAGACGACATATAATAGCATGGCCCATGCTAGGTTACTACATTTGTATATTTGTATTCATAGACCTGCTGAAAATGTGGAGAATATGTGTAATGCATGTTCGCACTCAATAAAGTGTTGGAAAATAAACTTGTATTTAGATGCATTTTACTTTAATTACATAAGTATTTTCATAACAAACAATACATGTGCTTGGGGGGTAAGGGTTTATTTAACTAATCTAGTGGAAGAGACTTGAGTGCCAAAATCCACGGG